TAAATCGATGAGACGAAGCAACAACGTTAACGTTAACACAGGATCCTAGGCCTCGGATATGCTGATATATATCGATTTTTCCAACACCTATGCTCTGCTTGCTGTGTGGTCCGGAGTTGCCTCGATGGCCAGTATAGAGTAGATTCATATCGTCTTGTATACTTTACCGGTCCCTTCCATAAGATGATCCGGAGAATGCAAAATAATCGCTCCAGCTGCATGCACTACCGCATTCGAGATCATTATATCGCGCCTACACTTCCCTCTTCCCGAGAAAAGTCGATAAAACCATGAGCCCTGGTATGGTCCACATCATAGAAATTTACCCTTGTTGCTGCTGGAAAGCTAGCCAAATAGCCCCCCCCCCCCCCCCCTCTCCCTCTCCGCCCAAAGATATCTAGATCCAGACACAAATCCAATTATAACCCCTCTATATCTTTGGGCAGGCCTAATGTATCCCCCTTCCAACACTGGCCGCGGATGGAAAAGAATAATATAAGTGAAGGGAAAGAAAGGTATAATACCTAATACCCGTGGCCGTAAAAATATAAGATGGCATCCCCCCCCTCCCCCCCCCCCCTCCCCCCCCCCCCCCCGGGAAAGTAGTTTTGATGGTTGAATTCGAAGGTCGAGGCTGGGGGATGTATCTGCAGCTGCCAGTATGCACTTATGTACTTCTGCTTCTGCACTGGACTCCGCGTGATCAAGAACAATAGTTGAGGACGAATTCGAAGACAAGCCGCAAAACGTGAGGTCCCGAGACAAGATCAGATTTCTGAGATAGTGACGGCGTGTATCTGGGTCCGGAGGGAAGAATTCTTGAGATACGGTAAAATCTGTTTGGTGGTACAGATGCACTGGAAGAATGTGGCAAGGTACCAGTCCTTCCGTGGTAGATGGCGAGGTTGCGGGAGGTAAATGAGGATGGATGCTGGGGAAGAGAATGGCTTCTGGGGATGAGGATAGTGCGTGTTGCCGGGTTTAATGCCGGTATTGGTAATTACAGACTGACTAATTCGACACATGGATAGCTTCGCTCAATCCTCAAAACCCTCCCCCCCCTCCCCTTTCATTATTATAATGTGGGGAGGGGGGGCTAGAAATGAAGTTGTTTGGGAAGATGAGGGTGCTGGTGAGGTCGAGGAAGGAGATGTCGAAGTAGAGAATGTGCATGCCGGAGATGCCGGGATAGAGGAGCCCAGAGAAGGGGAAGAGGGAGAAGTCGGCGGAAGTAATGAGGCTGAACCAGAGAAGGCCGGAGATGGAGAAGACGAGGATGCCGCGCCGCGCGCAACACATGCAACCGAAGCAGCAGCGATAACACGAAATAAATTGGCTCTGTTTTTCTTTTTTCTTTTTTGCATGGGGTGGGGCATATGATCTCAGTTACCCTGAAATATTCCTGGCTTAAAGCCGTATTACATATATGCGCATCCTAGATAATTATTTCTTACAGTGGGTAGGGTTTTTCAGCTGGCTTCCAAGGGTCAGAGCAGTTCTGGGGATTCTTTGGGGCGCCACTCACTCGAGAATTCGCCTCCAGATTATGGGGTTTATATACCGCCTCTAGGGAGGATCTGTGTGAGCTGTGCATTCTGAATTCTTCTCCAAAGAACCGCGTTAATACGTTCAGATGTCCCATACGACATATTGAGCTCTATTGCAAGGTTAAGGGCAATTGTGCAAAGATAAAGGAGAGATTGAATTAGCGATATTTGAATAGCTAGTCACTGCTCTAGGATCCTCAAGTACAATCGAGTTATTTAGGGGCAAGTGGGGGCTACGAGATCAGGCTATATTTATCAATTGAGTATCGCCGCCCCCAACCACAACAAAACACTCAAGAAATAAATAAATAAGAAAGTAAAATAAATATCGATCGGGATTTTTACGTAAGAAGGTGCGCACGTGTATAAAGCTGTCGAGCGCAGCGAAAGATGCAATTGAAAGTGATGACAATATAGATATAACAGTCCGGCCAAAAAAAAACGAATCATATGCATGAACGGGATAAAAAGAGTAAAATATTTATATTATTAAAATGTACGATTAAATTAAAATGGATTCCTCCGGTATCAATCTCCATCCTCAATAATGCAACTGCCTGACTCCTATGCAATTGAGCCTCCCCCCCTCCACCTCCCGCCAAATACATAGGTAAACCCCAGGTCGGAAATCGGATCACACCCCCATGGCCATGAATATTCCAATCTCTGGCCCCGGATTCCTTCCCCCACGGAATTATTTGCACAAAACTACGCAATGCACTTGTAAATTCCTCCACTTCCACCACAAATCTTTCCGCAGCAAGCACCCGGGTTGAAGAGATCACAGCTCTGGCCCTGTGCAGCACATGGCGGCGGGGTTGGTGTCACCACCTCGGATGTCGTTGTCGTGGTGGTTGTTGGCTCCTCGGTGGTAGTAGTGCTGGTAGTGCTGGTAGTGCTGGTAGTGCTGGTTGTGCTGGTTGTGCTAGTGGTAGAGGTGGTGGAGGTTGTGGTGGTGGTTGGAACGTGACTAGTAGTTGTAGTGGAAGTTATGGTATGCTTCTTGTGGCAGACCTTTCCGTGGCGCTTGACTTTCTTGGTGCTGACGCATTGAGGGGGTTTCGTGTCGAAAATTGAGGAGCCGCAGAGCGCGGAGAGGTCGTAAGTGCATGCCTCGATGCCTTCGTGGTTCACGCAGACAAGCTCGGGGTTTGCGGCCGCAGGGAATGCTGCAACGAGGGATGGGATGACGGCGATAACGAACGCGGGGAGAAGGAGTGTGAAGTGCATTGTGAGAGATGTGTGTTTATGTGTTTTGTGGAGTGTGCGTAATAAATCTTGCTCGTAATAAAAAGAGAGTGAATTAATTCAAGAGCAAAAAAAAAGAGTGTGGTAACTGAAGCCGATGGATGCTTGAGTGAGGAGAGAGAGAGAGAGAGAAAAAAAAACCCATCCACAAAAGGGCGGTATCCTTTTCTTTTTAACCACCATTGCGGAACATTCAGGGGCCGCGTTGCTTGTTCCTTTTTTTTAAGCCCGATGCAAATCAAGTGGGGCATCAACCCCTGTAAAGCATGTCTAGACATAAGTGGAAATAACGTGGTCCAGATCGATAAACATCTTTAACACCCCCAATAACAGAGACATTTTGATAGGGAGCTGAATGGTGGTTGGCTCCCAAGTACGGAATTGGTCAGCCGAGACTTGATACCCCCTGTCCGATCGGCATGTTCCAATTGGCCAGGGTTCGATTTTTTTCCGAGTGTAACACAAAAAAACAAGCCTTTTTCAAGCTTTTTTTTCGTTTGCGCAAGCCACAATTCACAGTTGCAAGCGAAATCTCCTTTCGGAAATGGGAGGGGGATTTTTCTCTTTTAAGCTCTTCGGCGGCGTGTGTTCGTCGTATGTATTTTTATCGCAAACAGGAATTACTTGTGTCACCTTTATCGGGAAAGATTCTTGTGAAAACATCAAGAGCAAATTTGAAATCGCAGTCGATTGTCTTGAAACAAGTCTCTAGAGTACAACCACTGTTGACATTAAGCGAGAAGGACAAAGCAGCGTTCGTTTAAAGCGCTTTAACGATTTAAAATGAAGAAAGTTCAGAATATTACTGCCAAAACATATTAAAGAGCGGTTGTGATACACAAGATGTTGGCCCTTTATCTTTCTGCAGGGCTAGTCATCCCCGCAAATCGGTGATTGCCGTACCTACTCTACAATGTTTGCAAACGTAAACCTAACGACAGTCCATGACATCGTATGATCGAAGACTATCGGTCGGCTGCCGATTAGCGATTCAACTACCGGTCGTCCCTTCCTTTATTTCGCCTTTATTATCGCATGGCACTTGTGGCTTAGTTGATCCGGACCGAGGACTTTAAATTTAGTGATCATTTCATGCGATAAACGGGCCAATTAGTTTCCCTTAGGCTAGTACCTACTTCCCTAATGTACATACAGTGCATAAGAAGTAAGTGTAATGGTAAGGTAGATAATTTCTCCAGGGAACGTGAAGCGAACCCAAGCATCCCGATAAATCAGTCTTGTATCTCGACTATCGATTCCCTTAGCGTATCGAGCCATCGACACCTCCTACATAACCGAGCATTATGTATTCTCAACAGAGATAAGTCTCAACTTTGTTGAAAAGTTCCGTAGCTTGCGTGTCATGCAGGAGGTGACGATAGATCGACACTAGCTAGAAGGTTATTGATAGACTAAACTTTAGACTTTTAGTATACACAGTAGATTCCTTTGTACAAAGAATTGGACACAATTTTCTAGGATATATATTTCTATTCGATGCTTTAATTTATTCCCTAACCATGTGTACATATATACCTGCAATTCTCTTCAAGCAAGTTTGCTTTTCTCCGCACGCTGTTGTTAATCATGCCTTTTTTCACTTGCATTATACTTAGAGGCGTTGAAACCCTACCTAGTGGTTGAGTTGACCGCTCATCTCATAAAACATGCATGGGCTAAAAAATAATTTAATTCTGGCGACAGCTATAATTTGCTAGACAAACTGGGTTCCCATTTAAATGCACTTACAGCCCATGGCCACCGCGAGGCCTGAATGAGTGAATTAATTATTCACGAGGGCATCATTCGATCAAATCAATTTTTTGTTCGTATTGCACCCACATACAAAATCAACACCTCTAAAGGGTACCGTGAATTCAGGCATCATAATTATCATTTTATAATTATCGATCGAGGTTAGAATACCGATTGCCAAAGTGAATTCAATATTAGATATCAAGGGGCCCGCGTACACACCGAGCCGACAACACATGCAACATGCATAATCCAATCCAATCGAGTAAAACCCCAAATGCAGCGTATTGATAGAGAATAAATATGCAAGAGCTTCCAGGAGAATATACATGAACCCAGTAATTCAAAGGTTGATTGATATTCAGAACTACCACTTTAAACAGATTCCCTCCGCGAAAAAAAAACATCTCCTCGAAATTCCCCTAAATTAAAAAAAAATGTAAAAAATAATTCTCCTGGCCGGGGTCGAACCGGCGACCTTCGCATCCCTTAACAAGGTCATGCTGATGACATGTAATGTCACAGTATAAGAACGACACGCTAACCACTGCGTCACAGGAGACTTTTGTGATGAAGATGAATTTTTACATGCAATTGTAGGCCAAGGGTGCCGTTTATTGGGCCGGAACCGGTTGTGAGGCACGACAATAGCCTCGTAGGGCATGGAGCATAGGAGAGGAGCAGTCGGTATCCCTTTGTCGGGCGAGACATTGTACAATTCAGTGCCGACCGACCAGGGTAAAAAAAGCTGTTTACTTTACTGAATTTGTTAATCACCTTACTCTCAAAGGTTTAAGTTGTGGCCCAAGCTCGACCCAGTATTAGGTATACTTCGTCTATTCCTGAGTTTACTCTCAGCTTCACCGGCTCCCTGGTCGGTCGGCACTGAATTGTACAATGTCTCGCCCGAGAAAGGGATACCCAATTTGATACATATTCGTCGGAAGGATGCGTATGGCATATATATTTAGGACCTACACGTATGTGAAATGATGAGATCTATCAAAACTTATTATCCTTTACATAATCGCTTGGTTCGCTAGCGGAATAATGTTGCATAGTAGATAAAGGCCGTCGGGATACATATTTCGAATATCTAAGTATCGGCAAAAAAAAGGGTGAGCTTTTCGTCATCTGGGACGTCGAAGAATGTACTCGTACTGTACACCAAATGATTTAGGTGTTTTATTAAAGGGTAGATGTCGAAATACGTTTGACACTAAGCTCGGAAGTGGGAGACATCAGGGTATCCAACCTCCAGGCTCAACGTAACCACTACTGTTGAATTATACGATAGATTATGCGTGTGATTGAAGTAATTACAGAAGTTCGTGGATATGACCAGCTTATAGAGAGCAGCGAACAAAGAGCTATCGAGATAAAGAAAAGCAGCGCAGCAGCGCCATGCCTTAAGCCACTGTTACATGAGGTTGTATATGCAAATATTTCAACAACTGCCAACAACAATCAACTACCTACCTACTTAGGTAGTTAAGTTACGCTGCTACGGCATAGCCTGGTTGTGCAGCTACGGCCATGCATACCTTAAGTACGAGGCTAGCGTCAAAAGTCGTGGGTCAACGGAGTTTTTCAAAATCAATATTTAAGCCGAAGAATTTTTTTGAGAAGCCTTTGAAACCAAGTGGGATCCCCAGAGGTATGAACACGGTTGTATTGCGGGCAATGAGGAATTATTTGAGGGCATGAAAGAGCTGTAATGTCATATTGTGCTATTTCCGCAATTTCAAATTGACCCATGACTTTTGACGCTAGCCTCGTACTCGAGTACATAGGTATGGATTAACCCATTTATTGGCAGTAAAATCCCTTTGGGTAAATCGAATACCAATTACTTACTAATTTGGAAAAACTAACGAGCTTGAGTGATATTAAATGCGCATTTCATCCCGTAGATGCGGGGATCCAAAGAAGAATAAATGTAGGGAAATGTACATGTACACGCACACGTTATCAGAAACATTGATATAGGCCACATATCGGGAGTCGCGGGAGAGTCTACTCGAGCAGCTGGGAATACATTTTGTCTTGAAGCCTCTACGAATACTCTTTTAATTATCGTATATGGCCACAAATTAATATATACAACCATAAATTCAATAATATGAATAAATATATAGAAGCAACTGCAGACCCCCGCACATGAATGTGAATGTGAATACATGGGACCCTGGCTTAGTAGGCGTGGGTAAAAGCTTGTCTCGACATACATAGCGTTCCTTGCACGTTGGACTGACGACAGCGACAGTGAAAGCAGAGGACATGTACATCTATATATAGTGGAAATGAAAAGGAATCATTTTCTCGGAAAAAATTTGTTCACCGTCTGCGTGGTTCCTATAACTGGTTCTGTGTCGACATTTACAGACTAGTTACGCATGCACGTTTTAGCAATTAATTTATATTTCTCTAATTTAACTAGGTACTAAAAAAACATGTCATCGGCAGACCCGGAAGTGTTCCATCGCCTAACCGGAGAAAGCAGACTTTCAGATGTCATACCGCCGTCATAACACCGACTCACGGTTATCGGAGGGGGGGGGGGCGTATATGTATAAGATCCAGCGATCGTGTACACTGAATGATAGGGCATTTCGTTTCATAGGTATTCTCAAACACGCCGTCAACGAGAAACAATTCTATGTAGGTCAAATTCCAGATATTTCATATATAACACAATCAAACGACTGTCGCTGGAAAAATTTCTGAGAGGATGCTTTTCTAATTCTTGCAAATGTCTCATCGTCAGTAATGGAAATCTGGTTTTTGCTCAAACCTCGAAGGAACAACCGTCCGTGAAGGAACAACCGTCCGTGGGACGGCCTTCATGCTCTTCACTCTACTCTAAATTCGTATGATACTTGGTCGGTATTTGGTTTTCGCCGTGGGGAAAAAATTATAATAGGAGCGCAAGATGGGACGACAAGAGGACTAAGTATAATTTCAGTCATCTGTTATCATAACCAGCCTGGTTAGCTCAGTTGGTAGAGCGCGTGGCTTTTAAGCGACTTCGATTCGAAGCTTGCACTGAAACCTCGAAGTCACGGGTTCGAGCCCCGTATCAGGCTTTCCTTTTTGCCCTTCTGGCACTCGTGAATATATTTTGCTTTCCGTATGGCTTACCAGGGTTATTTTGACCAAGTTTAGGATGTTGGGGTTAGTGGGATTCCTTGATTCGGATACCCATCTACTTCCTACTTTCTACATTGATTCCGCAATTACCTCCCCGCCGGAAAAAGGCATCAAGTATCTCCTTGACACTCCTGTGAGCTATGGTGAGCTACAACTGTTGGGCTTCAACACGGCTGTAATTATCGCTTTAACAAAAAATAGGCAGTGAACCACTCTGCAGTCGGTACCTTAACATTTTAATTGAACACATGATGTGGGATCAGCGATTCGGAGTTTAGAACGAAATCCAGCTGTTATTTGAAGAGCTATGGAGAAAGAAGAGAGCGGCACATGATCCGCAGGATTCGTACCTTGATATTTGTGCTGTACAAAAGATTGGGCAGTTTGAGGACTTAATTTAGGCAATATGGAGGGGTTTGAAGAAGACTCGTTGCTGCAGTAAGTACCTAGGTAATTATCATTGTTTCCTCCATTCTCCTGGAGCTTCTGCGTTCCCTTCACATAAAGTATATTGATGTCGACATAGTATAAAGCGTAGAAAGGTGATGATCATTTTCTCTCCGAGCTTCCCAACTTTTGACTAGATGTATCTACATAATCTTTTTTCACTCCCCCGAAGCGATCGCATGAACTGGGAAGGAGTTTCCGTGTTCTTTGGTACAAGGTTATTCACGGCACTAGCAGGAATTTCAAAAAAGATCAAATCAAAAGTTATGATACCTTCGACACCAAGTATTCCATCTATCGCTGCATTCATTCCTGTCATTTTCCGCTCTTCTATTTCTATATCTAAGGCACTATATAAGCGCCGTTCCGCAGCCCCAATTGCCTCCTTTCTTTCATCATGTTCTGTTTGCAATCCCTCCTGACCATCTTCTCTTTCAATCGCCAAGGCTTACAACTCGTGAAGCCACTGCACAGTACAGGAGAGCCACTGATTAGCTACAACACAATGACAAAATGTACCCATCACTCATCATCCCTGGTGTTAACATCTCCTTATTTCATTTTCAGTAATTATAAAATCATGGTGCAATAGTGTAATATATTACGACAAGATACTGAGATATTTGGCATCTGCGCTGGTCGACTGTGGCATGTTGGTGTAATGCAGGGAGACCCAATATTTGCGCAGTTGCATCACAATGATGGCCTATGGCCGGGATAAAGTTAGTGATAATAATTTTAAAAAGCAAACTCCATGAAGCAAGAAGGGATCTTACTTGTTCACTGGAGGAGGTCTCGGCGGATCGGTAATGCGGGCTCTGGTTGAACTCATTCTGGGTATAGCAGTGGTGCTTCGTGGCTTACGCTGAATTTTGTAGTCGCATTGGCAGCAAGTTGTGCCTTTTGAAAAATAAAATCGGTTTTTAAAATTTAAATAAAAGTGAGCGAGGTCAATGAGCTATAGCATACTCCGTTTCCAGTTGATTCAAGCTGTTCTCAATTTGGCAAACATTGATTAGTAACTCCCGCACCTCAGTTTGCAGCTCCCGCAATAGACCATTTTGTTGCGTTAGAGTTTGTATTGCCTTGAGCGTGTCATCTTGTCATTGGAAGGCGGTATCATGTCTTTTTGTGTATTGCGGAGTTCAGCGTTGTCATTTCTCCCGCCAGTTCTAGTTTGCTGTCTAAAGTTGTGCAGGGAGTCCATCATGGTACAGTAATTGAACTGGGCATACAGGCCTAGTCTCTTGCAGGCCATGACATACTTCTGCACTTACACATGCGACTTTTGTACTGGCAGCTTGGGTGTTGCGGAGGGCAAGCGTAGGCTGGCGGTGTGGACACGGCCGGGGGATAGGTGACGTGGGTGAAGTGAGGATAGGATGGGAGAAGTGAGATGTCAGGAGAGATGGGCTGTTCAAATACTGGAAGTCAGCCTCAAAGAACTCAAACCCATACTGGAAGGGGTGGGTGACGAGCGGCCTTAGCCCGCAGATGCCAAATGAACTCGTCGGGATTTACAAAAAACTGCTCAAATATGCAGGCGATGCATGGAGAGACTTCCTAATCCGGCCAACTGCCAGCCAAAGTATTCAACGAGACTAAAGTATTCTGCCCTTGGAATACCTACGAGAACACACGGATCTCCTAGTCTCAACCCCAGACCCCCTTAAAGGGAATTTCCCCGGTCGGCTGCTTGGGTCTCGGGTTTAGTTTTCTGGATACAGATTGGTTTTGATCCCCTCTGGGATACAAGTAGGTAGGTACAATAGGGCATGGAAAGTGACCGGACAGCGCTAGCAAAATCTCGTTACGCAGGTGATCCACTTAAAATACAGTAACGCAGTGCTTTTCTTGTGTCATGGTAGTTACCTAATTGGGACTACAGTTTTGAATAGTGTGGGCTCACAACTTGTTGTGTCTCCTCAAGTGAATGAGAGTGCAGCGTGTTGAGCCCCCTCTCGGAGGCTGTCAAGCCCACTCTTGAGTAAGGTAGGGCTTGACCTAATCGCCTGTACTATGAGGCGCACTTCCGGAAGTAGTAATACTCCACCGGAAGTGATTTACTAGGAGAGTACGAGATATTACTGTATACGGAACTATACTAAACAACACTCCTCCTTCTCGTTCGTCTCCTGTAACTATTAAACTTAATATACACTAGCTCTTGCAACTTGCCCCTTTTAAGCGAGTTGAATAAATCAAACGTCTTTTTCTTCCTCAATTACCCGACCTTTCTCAATACCACAGAGTTCCCTGCAAAGTTCATATTTGCCTCTCGCTGATGGTTTTGTTAGAAAGTCTGCTACCATTACATCTGTACTGATGTATTCTAGTACAATTTCCTTTCGCTTAATTCTGTCTCTTAGGAAATGGTAACCGATTGCTATGTGTTTTGCTCTAGGGTGATCTGCTGGATCCTTTGCAACTTTCATAGCCGATTGTGAATCTGTCATGATGCACACCTATCATATCATCTCATGCTTGATTAGTTCCTTTTCTTTTACTTTTAACGTCTCAAGTAGCTCTTTTTAAACTACGTACCTGTTCTCTTTTCTTTCCGCTTAACTCTGCGTAGAGTGAACTAAGCCAAATTCCCTCTTTACCTGCATATGAGGCAGCCATGTATTCAGCTTCCATGGTCGAGGTTGCCACGAATTTAAGCTTCTTTGAACACCATGAAATTGTGTTTCCGTTATGCATGAAAATATACCCGCCAACAGATTTTCTATCAATCTTGCTAGACGCCTAGTCTGCATCAATGAATCCGAAAATTGGAGATCTGTCTTTCAAGAGTGTTGTGATGACTGTTGGTAAATTCGCCTTTTCAACGGAGTTGTTATAGATCAACTTGTGATCCTTGCTACCCTGCAGGTATCTAAAAACTCCTTTGACTGCTGTCCAATGATGTACTGATGGATTTGAGCAAAAACGACTCAAATGTGATATAGCGAAAGCAATGTCTCCTCGTGTTCCCAACATGAGATACATCAAACACCCAATAGCTTGCTGATATTGTCTTTTATCGTGTGGTTCTTCATCTTGTCGTTCCTCCAATAGCTTGCTCAACGGCGTACTTCTTGCCACGCAACTTTGCATTCCGAAAAGAGCTAAGATCTTTTCGACATAGTGAGTTTGCGATATTGTTATGCAATTTGTCATTTGACATATTTGCAATCCAAGGAAGAATGTCGCTTCTCCCATGTCTGACATTTTGAATTCGATGGCTAGTTCAGTTTTGATTTGGGACATGTTTGATGCGTCTGCTCCTGCAATAAGTAGGTCATCCACGTATATTGCGATTATGCAATCTTCTCTTAGAAAAATTGAATAATCGTATTCCGATCGCGTATATCCAAGTTCGATAAGGTAATCGGTTAATCGTTGATACCATAGTCTGGGACTTTGCTTTAGACCGTATAGTGCTTTCTTTAGTCGTAGGACTGGGTGATTGCATTTTTCAATATCCATTCTGAGATCTGAGAATTTATCCAGTAGAGTCGAACTAGTTTCGATTTCCTGTTTATTTTCCAAAATGCCATCTGGAAGATGAAGATAGACTTCATGGTCAATCTCCGAGCACAGGAAGGCTGTTTTCACATCCATCTGATGTATTTTCCAGTTTCTCTCTGCCGCGAGACTCATTAAAAGTCTGATAGATCCGAATTTAGCCACTGGTGCAAACGTTTCTTCATAGTCAACTCCATGTACCTAGTATCATGATTGATTAGTTGATTACTTTCATAACTTGTTTAGTAATCATTTGAGTCTTTTGAATAGATATCTATACCTGAGTAAATCCTCTAGCAACTAAACGAGTCTTGTATCTTGCAATATTTCCGTCTGGATTGAGTTTATGTTTAAAGACCCATTTCGTAGTGACCAATTGTCCATCTTCGGGTGCCTCAACAACTTCAAATACTCCCATATCAATCAATGATTTGAGTTCGCTTTCAATTGACTCTCTCCATTCGTTACTCTTTTCCAGATGATTGTAAGCGTGATGAAATCTGTACTGTTCAGGTTCCAACTTCGTATTTTGTCTGCTTTCTGCAGTAACATTACCAGTATCCATTGCTGTCTCTTCTTAACTTATCAAGGCTTTGACTAAAGAGTTATCCACGGAGTATTCGGTAACTCCAACTTGAAATATTTCTTGACTGAATCGCCTAGGTGCTCTTCGTCTTCTTCCAGATTGGCGAGCAACATGTCGATTGTGCTCTTCACCTCGTCCTTGTAATCCTTGAGATCTCCTTGGATTCTGAATCCTTGGCCTTCTACCACCTCTTCTTCTCCTTGGTGGACTTTAAAATTGCCTTTCATTATTATCATCCGCATTTCCACCTTCTTTAATATCTTCTTCATCTAGACTTGAGTCATCATTATCGCTCTCACTGTCATCAGTAGTTGAATAGTCACTATCAAGTAAACCTCGTTCAATTGTAGGTCCAACATCATTTTCGTCATAAAGTACCATTTGTTCATCTTG